AAAGAAATCCCAGCCCCTTTTTGGATGGCAGACACCTTTAGCAGATTTGAACTGAGTTTTACCCTGGTGTATATTTAGACAAGTTTTCTGCTGATTGAAGGCCATTTCTCTGAGAATAGTTAGGGTCTGCTTGAGGCCAGCTTGGGACTTGGCCAGGGTTTTCCATAGAGGTGCAATACTATACACGTAAAAAGAAAACAGGTCAGAAGCTGCTGTGGTTGTGCTGCCTCATTCCCCAGCTAAAGGTCATTCTTAATCCTCCTACAGCTCCCAGAATGCCATGTGCAGTGGCTTTTTAAAAATGTTCCAGGAAAGAAATGGCTTCTATCAAGCACAGAAAGGGACAAGTCCTTCATGGGACCAAGAGAACCCAAATGTTTCACGAGTCCATTTAAAACCCTGCAAAGATGAGTTCTGGGGAAACTTCATGGTAACATTTTTTTCATGGTCAAATTTTGAAGCTATGTCGCTGGACAGAACTATGACTGGGACTTTAGTCACCAACCTTCTGTGAAAGGGAATGGAGAAAGAGACGATTCCACAGGCCAGTGTCACCACTGAGGACAGTAGTAAGCATGGCTGGGAAGTTTCCACTAAACCCAGTGGCCACGAGGCTGAGATCGAAATGAGATTACGCTGCTTCTCAGAAACATAGAAATCAAAAGACATTCTGAGAAAGTCATGAGACACACTCAGATTTCTAGGAAGCACGTAGCTTTGAACACAGTGCCCTGGATGACACCGGGCCTGACCTGAAACGCTGACTGCTTGCTACCTTGGCACCCTGTTGGAAGCAGCACCAGCCGCCCCCAAACTTCCACCTGCCGCAGAAGACAACCAAGCCCATGTCCCAGAGACACTGGCAGTCCCTTCATCTACCGGCCGGACTCCGTGTAACTTCCCCTTTCAGAGAAGAGGTTGATTTCAAAAGTAAATTTGTTCTCTGAGTATGATCTCATCATTTCCAAATTTCCTTTGAGTTTCCTTTTTGTCTATTCATAGCACTTCCCTCATCTAGCTTTGACTCACCCCTTTTCAAAGCATGTGTAGCCCCCTCAGACATTTATCTGGAAATATGTATGTGACTCAGGAACAAACAAGTAAGGAAGCATGAGCAGTCTAGTATCATCCCTTTGCTTTACTATCCTTTAATTTATTTTCTAAAAGTGATGCTTTTTTATCTGTCTTCCTTGTAACATATGCAAAGAAAAAAATCATGTACATAGATAACATATTTTACATGAATATTAATATGTATATACACATATATAAAATTTGGCCAATGCCAATACAATTTACCTAAAACTCTTTCTTTTTTTTTTTTTTGAGACAGAGTTTCACTCTGTTGCCCAGGCTAGAGTGAGTGCCGTGGCACCAGCCTAGCTCACAGCAACCTCAAACTCCTGGGCTGAAGTGATCCAAGCCTCAAGCTCACGCCTCAGCCTACCAAGTAGCTGGGACTACAGGCATTCGCCACCATGCCTGGCTAACTTTTTCTGTATATTTTTAGTTGGCCAATTAATTTCTGTCTATTTTTAGTAGAGACGGGATTTCATTCTTGCTCAGGCTGGTTTTGAACTCCTGACCTTGAGTGATCCTCCTGCCTCGGCCTCCCAGACTGCTAGGATTACAGGCATGAGCCACTGCACCTGGCCATTTGTTTCTTTTTTTAAAAAATAATTTTAAAAAAATTTCAGTAGATTTAAGGTGTACAAGTGTTTTTTATCTTTATATATATATATATATATATATATTTTTTTTTTTTTTGAGACAGAGTCTTGCCTTTTCACCTGAACTAGAGTGCCTTGGCATCAGGCTAGCTCATAGCAACCTCAAACTCCTGGACTCAAGCAATCCTCTTGCCTCAGCCTCCCGGGTAGCTGGGACTACAGGCCTGTGCCACCATGCCCAGCTAATTTTTTGTATATATTTTTAGTTGTCTGGCTAATTTCTTTCTATTTTTAGTAGAGACGGGGTCTCACTCTTGCTCAGGCTAGTCTCGAACTCCAGAGCTCAAGCAATCCTCCTGCCTCGGGCCTCCCAGAGTGCTAGGATTACAGGCGTGAGCCACCGCGCCCGGCCACCGCAACACTCTTATACATTGAAAGAAAAACATTGATAGCAACATCTCACAAAAAATTATACCAAAATTTAAAACTATGCCACTGAAAGGTTAAAGCATATTATGTCTGAGGTCTACTTAAACCCTTTTGCTTTCTTGAACACATTCTGTACAGATATTGCCTAATTGTGGAAATCAATACACTCTTTGCCTATTTTTAGCCCCTAAAATAAAAACAATTCCCTCAAGCAAAAAAAAAAAAGGAGAGAGGGGTTCTGTTCTGCTTTCAACTCATGTGATATCTCAGTTCATGCTGGGAAATGGTTGCAAACATGTTCCCTGTGTCCATACTCTGGCTGCTGCAGTGCGAAGCTCTCTCGTTTCCATGCCTTAGGCCAAACATTTCTTGCCTCTTCCTGCCCCTACTCTGATAGCACATCTCCATGTGGGCCTTACTTACCTTTATCTGGCTGTCAGCCCTCATTTAGACTGGCCTTCTCAGCTTCCTTCAAGGGGCCTAGGAGCCCTCAAAATGAAGATGACTCTAAAAGTTTATTTTGGTCCGGGTGCGGTGGCTCACGCCTGTAATCCTCGCACTCTGGGAGGCCGAGGCGGGAGGATGGCTCAAGGTCAGGAGTTCGAAACCAGCCTGAGCAAGAATGAGAACCCATCTCTACTAAAAATAGAAAGAAATTAATTGGCCAACTAAAATATATAGAAAAAATTAGCCGGGCATGGTGACACACGCCTGTAGTCCCAGCTACTCGGGAGACTGAGGCAGGAGGATCTCTTGAGCCCAGGAGTTTGAGGTTGCTGTGAATTAGGCTGATGCCACCACACTCTAGCCTGGGCCACAGAGTGAGACTCTGTCTCAAAATAAATAAATAAATAAATAAATAAATAAATAAATAAATAAATAAATAAATAAATAAAAAGTTTATTTTGATAAGTAGTCTAAAAGCTTGGCTCTCTGTGGTAGAAATATCCTGTCACCTTAGCAAAAACACAAAGCACATATATATTGACTATAGCTCCCAAATGAATTTTACCCTTTCTTACCATGAAACTTACACTGCAGAAGCCTGTCAGCTGATGAGCTGTGAAAGTTGGGTATTATAAGCAGATATACCAAGAAGATACAGAGATATATACCAAGATATACCAAGAAGATAATGCTGTTCCTTTTAGTCATTGTGACTGTCCTTTGGACTAGTAGTACAGAAGCCACTCAGACAGGGGTGCTTGTCTTAGGGTCTGCAGATACCCAAAGGACTCATGGATAGAATTCCAAGGGTCTATAAATGTAGATGGGGAAAAGACCCAGTTATTTATTTTCACTAACCTGTAACCAAAATTTAGCATTTCTTTCAATTATGAAGGCAGGTAACAAACCAAAATAGTTACCTGTGACTTTGTCACCAACAGTTGTTGCCAATGCCTTGAAATGTCATTTACATTCATCACTATTTTGAAGCTATAATATGTATTAAACCCATCAGTAGATCGTATTTATTGTACTAATCAAGAGGCATCTATATAACTATATCATAAGGTTGGGCTCGGTGGCTCACGCCTGTAATCCTAGCACTCTGGGAGGCCGAGGTGGAGGATCATTCAAGGTCAGGAGTTCGAGACCAGCCTGAGCAAGAGCGAGACCCCCGTCTCTACTATAAATAGAAAGAAATTAGCCAAACAACTAAAAATAGCAAAAAATTATCCGGGAATGGTAGCGCATGCCTGTAGTCCCAGCTACTCTGGAGGCTGAGGCAGGAGGATCACTTGAGCCCAGGAGTTTGAGGTTGCTATGAGCTAGGCTGATGCCATGGCACTCTAGCCCAGGCAACAGAGTGAGACTCTGTCTCAAAAAAAACCTATATCATATATTTTTTTTAAGTTTTGATAACTATTCTTCAATATAATTGGTTTCCTTGGCATCCTATGTATTTTGTTTTATGCTTTTAAAAACATCCTTCTTAGAAGGGGTGAAAGGCTCTACCAGACTTCTAATAGGGCCCATGTTTCAAAATCAAAGATTGAGATTCCCTGTGCTAGGTTTCACAGATGAACTTGAATTGTGGGTTATAAATTCTTCAATCATAATAGAAACATGGCAGATGACAATGACCCATGCTTAAGGAATTTAATTTAGGCATAGGCTTCTAATACGAGTTCAACCCTCCTGGGCCAAGACACTTCAATGAAAGGGTGGAGAGAAAGAGAACCTATTGTCAGCAAAGCTTTCAGACCTGCAAGGCAAACCATTGCTTAACCATGGGCTGGATTCACTGGTTGGCCTCTTTTATTCAGCTTGTGAGATTATGATATTCTTGTCTTCAAGGATGATTATAGGTTACTAAGCCTGCAGGTTCAAAATTGCCCTCCGGAGCTTTGGTAACTTCTTCTGACTCTTTATTTATTGTCCATTGAGTTCCCTGGTTCTTTGCCCTAGACGTTATAGCTTTTAACTTTGACTTAGGGTTTCATTTAGAACTTTACAATGAAAGAAGATTCTTTACCTCCAACAGAAATTGACTCCACAGTGTCAGATCCTCTTGGACTTGGGATTATTTTTCAACAAGTTTCAGCTGATTCATGGTCTCAATGGCTGACTCAGTCATGACTCAATAATGATGACATCCTTTTAAAGTTATAAAATTTAAAGAGATCCATGGACGGAAATAGAAGGGGAAAATATGTGAAATAAATGAATGCTAGGAATAAGAAGAAAACATACCAAACGAATGACCACCAATGTTCCTTTGTCTTGGTATAAAATAGAAATTTTACTAAAAATAACACGTGATTAACATTTGAGTAGTGCTTTTATTTCATTTGATGTCCATAACAACTCTGTGAGGTAAGCAGTTGCAAAAGCTGAATTACAGAGACCTAAAAGACCAGCTGGAGGCCACAGACTAGAAAGTGGGACATGAGTCAGGGGTGGCGGGGTCAGGCCTTCTGTTCTCTGGGCATGGTCTTCTCCTCACAACACAAAATCTGAAGAGCCTGGAGCCCTCGGGGTTGCTGCTCTAGTAAAACTAAGTCAACAAGACAAACAAAGAAGAACTGTGTGCTGTTTGAAAACTAAATGAGCCTCAGGAGCAAAGTAGTAAACATGGGCACGATTCCCAGGTTTTCTGAGAGAGACAGTTCTTCGTGTTTGTAACACTCACAAAGACAGCAAAGGGCACAGAAGGATCACTGGCCATTCTAAGAAAGAAGTGATCATATATGTGGAAGACAGGAACCGGCAAAAGAAACTGGAGGTCAGAAACCATTGAGAATCTGCTTTAAGTTATATTTTAATTTTCAACAAGTTTAGTGCTGATCAATCATAGGTTTGATTTGATTTGATATATATATATATTATATATATATAAAATACAGACTTATATAATACAGATATTTAATGAATTCCCTATGCTGCCACTAGGCAGTATGATCTATGATACCAACAATAATATGTATTAAATATGTATATTTACATATGTTATATTTACATTTACATATGTATTAAATATGTAAATATATAATAAAATGTATTTTATTTTTTTTTAGGAGTTTATTTCATTTTTTTTAGATTTTTTTTTATTTCGGCATATTATGGGGTACAGATTTTAAGGTTTCAATAAATGCCCATTTCCCCCCTCCCCCACAAGTCTGAGTCTCCAGCATGACCATCCCCCAGATGGTGCACATCTCACTCATTATATATGTATATACCTGCCCCCTCCCCCCTCCCACCTGCCCAATACCCTATTACTGTAGTACCTATGTGTCCACTTAGGTGCTGTACAGTTAATACCAATTTGCTGGTGAGTATATGTGGTGCTTGTTTTTCCATTCTTGGGAAACTTCACTTAATAGTATGGGTTCCAGCTCTAACCAGGAAAATATAAGATGTGCTATATCACCATTGTTTCTTAGAGCTGAATAGTACTCCATGGTATACATATACCACATTTTATTAATCCATTCTTGGATTGATGGGCACTTGGGCTGTTTCCACAGCCTTGCAATTATGAATTGTGCTGCTATAAACATTCGAGTGCAGGTGTCTTTTTTGTAGAGTGTCATTGGATCTTTTGGGTAGATGCCCAGCAATGGGATTGCTGGATCAAATGGTAGATTCGCTTGTATCGCTTTAAGGTATCTCCATATTGCTTTCCACAGAGGCTTAACTAGTTTGCAGTCCCACCAGCAGTGTAGGAGTGTCCTCTCCTCCGCATCCACGCCAGCATTTATTGTTTGGAGACTTTTTGATAAAGGCCATTCTCACTGGAGTTAAGTGATATCTCATTATGGTTTTGATTTGCATTTCCCTGATGATTAGAGATGTTGAGCATTTTTTCCTATGTTTGTTGGCCATTCTTCTGTCTTCTTTAGAAAAGTTTCTGTTCAAGTCCTTTGCCCACTTTTTAATAGGGTTCTTTGATTTTTTCTTCCTGATTTTCGTGAGTTCTAAGTATATTCTAGTTATCAGTCCCTTATCGGATGCATAGGATGCAAAAATTTTCTCCCATTTTGTAGGTTGTCTGTTTACTTTTCTTTGGCTGTGCAGAAGCTTTTTAGTTTGATCATGTCCCATTTATTTGTTTTTGTTGCTGCTGTGATTGCCTTTGGGGATTTCTTCATAAACTCTGGCCTAGGCGATGTCTAGGAGAGTGTTTCCAACTTTTCCTCTAGAATTCTAATAGTTCATACCTTAGGTTTAAGTCTGTTATCCAGCATGAGTTGATTTTTGTGAGAGGTGAAAGATGTGAGTCCTGTTTTAGCCTTCTACAGGTGCTATCCAGTTTTCCCAGCACCATTTATTGAAAAGGGATTCTTTTCCCCAGCGTATGTTTTTGTCTGCTTTGTCAAAGATTAGATGGCTATATGAGGATGGTTTTATATCAGGATTCTCACATCTGTTCCACTGGTCAATATTCCTGTGCCAATACCATATTGATTTAATTACTACAGCTTTGTAGTATAGTTTGATATCTTGCTTCTATGATACCAACAATAATATGTATTAAATATGTAATATTTACATATGTAATATTTACATTTACATATGTATTAAATATGTAAATATGTGATAAAATGTATTTTAAAATACATTTTCTATATAGTGTGTTGGATAACATCCAACAAAAACTATTATCTAACTTGTTTAGTTCTATGTACAAATAAGTCAATAGCTTCACTTTTGGTTGTTTTATATTGCAGTTGGGACAGATTTTTGTTTAGTTTAGTTTTGCTTTTTAATGATCTCTTTCCTAACTATAGGGAAACCTGAGCTCTCATAAAAAGAAAAAGAGAAGGAAAAAGAAAAAGAAAAAAAGAGGCAGGAGGGCCCTGGCTGGTCTCTAAGCAATGTGCATGCAGGCGGTTGCTACACAAGTTTCCAGATCCTGATTTGAATCTCAGGGGCCAGAGCTGTGTGTGTTCCACAAAAGGCCCTTTGAAACTCCCTTCCCTTCCTGGTCTGACAAAGCCCTCAATGACTGACCTTTGAGGGACAGGCGCATTGGTTTGGCTTGGCCTCTGATCTCTCATGAAGGACTGTGAGCCACGTTCGTCTGTCCGGGATCTGCTGCCTACTTCCTCCATTATATTTAGCTCTCTGGTTATTTTCCTAATGAGCTGTCTGTTTGCCTCCAGCCTTCCAGCCAGAAGATGAATGTGTGCAAATCATAAACTAAGTTCCCCGGCACTCAGGACCTCAAAGGAGCCAGCCACTCCATACACGTTGAAATCGACCCACATGGAGCGTTTGCTGGGGCTGTCCCTTTTACTCTGTTTGGCCCTTGGCCAGGCAGGCCTGCCACCTCTATCAAGAGCTGTCCCCAGCCTTGCACTTACATTCTCTCAACTGACCACCCCATAGCTGCCCTCCCCACCTCCCCCTGCTTTGCCAGATGTGCCAAGGTAGCTACCAGGCAGACCGAGCACACGCTTAGGACAGTAGCAATTCACAGAGGGAAAGGGAAAATTAAAAATATTTTAACTAACCAGGTGGTTACCATGGGAGAATTTTTTATATTTACGTTGTGGCTTTGAATAGTCTTTAATTTGAGGGTGGGGCAGCAGAAAATGAATCTTAATATTTTGATTCATGGGGACTTTAAATGTACTGCTTTCTAGAGTCCTACAGATTGGTTTTTGTTCCTCCCTGTGCCCCAGTGAATCTTCCACTCAACGTTGATGTGACTCAGAGAGTTAAATCTTGCTGGAAATCTGGAACCTGTCAGGCCTCCATCTGCCTTAACACGAACTATTTAGCTCCTACCATTCCATCCTTGCATGGCCCCAATTAATTAAGGCAGTTGTAGAACCCAGTACTTTCAGGGTCTTTAAACCCAAATTATAAAGCTTTATACCTTAGTCTGTTGCTAGCTTGGAATCTTCATCTTCACAGAGTTGATGGACACTAAATACATATGGTGACTCTTTACATACATAAAAAAAATTTCATGAGCCCAAACTTCTCATGTCTTCTAAAAAAACTTACATGCATATTTTAATTAGGTCCCATGTAGACCCACTATATAAAATGGGCGGGCATCGATATTATTATTTTATCACTTAGGAAGTGCTATATAACCAAATTCTCCCTAAATGGTCAGGAGTTTGCATAGCAAGGTGGAAGCACCTGTGGATCACATGCCCATGGGAGAGGTATACAGTTGCTGTGCAATGTGGTTGGACCATTTCTGCTCTAGGCCATACCAGATTGGAGAAGAAACCTTGGGAAGATGTGGGGTTGATTTAGCAGCCCTTAGGTATCACCAAATACTGTATGGGCACTTGATTTTAAAGAAATTTGATATTAAAAAATTATACATATAAATATAAATCTGCACAAAAATAAACCAGGTGGAAAGTATATTATCTCTTAAAAGAATCACAACAGCACTTAAAAAACTTCATTGCCAAGAACATTTTAAAATACAGTATAGGTATTTTTTTTAGAGGTACAGGTATTTTTATGTATAGCTTTATGAATAGTTTTGAAAAGAATAAAACTATGTGCAGAAGACCAATTCATTTGGCTCACAGTAAGAAGTTTAAAATTATATTTTCAGAGTTCAAGGGGACAGAAGTTGCAAGATCAACTTGACATTCTGCACCTCCTCCTTTTCCTTCTGCCCTGGCAGGAAGAAATCACGGGGCCTGGAACTTCTGTAAACATGAGGTTCTTGCTCAATGCTCTGGGGAAGGCAAACCCCAAGCCCTGGCACAGAGGCAATCTCCTCCCAGTTTCTAAAACTGGACAGTCAGACCTAGTGTGAACCGTGGAAGCCGGCGGCACCAGGGCAAGCCTGGGTGGTCGCACTGTGGCCACATCAAATCAAAACACACACGAAATTTGGGTACATTCCCCCTGCAAGTTTTGGATGGAAATGAGAGTGGGTAGAAAGCCTGTGAGAGCCCCAACCTCTCACCCTTCAGGTCCCCTGTCACGGCCTTAGGACCTCCAGGATAAACTGCCCCACACAAGACAAAGAGCTTGTTTGGCCTCACGCATGAATGAAGCGCATATGGAGAAGCAAACCTCGCTGACCACCGCTTCCCCAAGCGACTGCTCTCCCACGCCCCCCATGGAAAGCCCGACAAAGGGAAAAATCAATCTTCTGGGCTTTAAACCTGCCTTCTGTCCCCGTCAGATGTTGCCAAGCACAAAGCTTTTCGGGGGCTCCTGTCACAAAGCAAACAGAGCCAGAGCGGCCGGAAGGAGGGAACTGCTCTTTAAAAGCTTTTAAATGCTGTTATATTTTTAAAACCACTTACAGAAGAGGGGAGTTATTTTCTACTCCTCCTTCCCCAGAAGCAGAGACATTAAGGTTACCTAGAAACCTGTCCAGGAAGCATCTGGCAAATAGCAACCATGCAATAGAAACATCCGGATTTGTCATCTAATAGGAGATGGTATCAGCAAGGTCATATTTGGGTAGAGGTGGAATACGAAACTTAATTAGTTTGCATGTGCTGGCTATTTTGGGGGCCATTCGTATGTGCTTTGGGGGAAGGAGGCTTTGTTCTTCTGCTTGGCTGGGAGGGCATTTGGTTGGTATAAGCTGGACTTAAGATCTGAGCTGGGAGCTGCTCACACGGAAGACCACCTGTGGGAAGGAACGAGCAGAAGGGGAAATTAAAAGACATTAGAGGGGATGGCCTCTACCCTGGGAGAGATTCCAATCTGTTTGAGACATGAAGTACACAGAGAATGACCTGAGAACAGCACTTTTTTTTTTTTTTGTAAGTTTCAGATGCAAAA